CCCCTTGGTTCAGAGTGCCTAGAATCATCCATAAGTATTCTAAGCAGCTGAAAGAACACAAGTGGGAAAGCAGCAGTGTACCTTGTCCCTCAGAATCAGCTCTGCAGTCACAAGGACGTCCCCACAGGCCCTCTCTCCATTCATGACTGGGTGCCAGAGAAGTTTAGGGGTGACATCCATTTCTGAGTTTAGTTTCACCAGAGGAGAGCAAATGCTTCGTCCTAAGAATTCATCTTTGCCCTGGAAAGACAAACAAACCTCAAATTCCTAAACAAACACCTCTTCAAATCCCCCTCATCCCCCAAGTCCTTCAGAAATTCCAAATCACCTACCACTTGGTCATTGTCAAAAAGTTCTATGATAACTTTGGGTGGATCCTGCAGAACTGTTTGGGGTTCCCCATAGATTTCAATCTCATCGAATATAATCGTTTGGTCCCATGTGGGATTCAGGGTTGAGTGGATGATCTCGGTGGTTTTGCTTCGATGGAGGAAGGAAACATGAGCATATGGATCTAAAATAGAAATAAAAGTGGAGCCATGGTGAAAGTCTAGCTGTATAACTGGATCATTCATCTCAACCTCACGCTTTTCCTCTGGATACAACCATCAGGAACTCCCACCGCCCACGTGGGGATTGGGTTTCTGGAGAGCAGGGTGTGGCAGAAGTGGGCGTCATGTTGATGTTAGGCCCTGATGTGTGCTGAAGATTTTCCCTCTCTGGAGTATATCCCCACAAGGTTAATTGGACACACAATCTTCCAAGCTCATGATTAAGAGCATAGGCTCTGCAGTCTGACACACCTGGGTTCAAACCCTTCCACCCCACTATATGATCTCAGGGAAAAGTATTTCACCTTCCTAAATTTTGGTTCCCTCCTCCATACAATAAAAGTAGTAACTGCTTCATAGTGTTCAAAGGATGATATGGAGTAAACAATGTAAACTGCTTAGGAGCGAGCTCATCATAGAGGGCACAACTGATAAAAGCCAGTTACCATCATTGCTTCTACTCTCACTGCTAATCCATTTATTCAGCAAATATTTATTGAGTGCCAGGGCTCAAGAATGTAGTAGTAAAAAAGAAAGACGCAGATGTGCATAGCGTTTACAATGTATGGTAATAGAAAGCTTTGTTTCCATGTACTAGAAAATGCAGGGAAAGAAATCTTATGTGCAAAAAAAAGTAATCTGTGTTTTCCTCCATGATAAATAATCACAGCAACCCATTTTAGAGTTGCTGGAGGCTCACCTATTGGAGCAATAATGTGTAAGTGCAGGGCACGATGGCATGTGCTGGTAGTCCTAGATACTTGGGAGGCCAAAATGGGAAGATGGTTTGAACCCAGGAGTTCAGGGCCAGCCTGAGCAACATAGCAAGATCCCAACTCAAAGAATAAAACAAATAAATAAAAATAATGTTTTACCTGAAGCTTTTATATATGTCAAATGGTGCTTTGTTTTTAGTATCGCAGGCAGCTATAATTCTATGAATAAAATTATTTGCTTTTGCCCTGATGGTGGATCTTACACATCTCAAACTGCTTAGAGTTTTATGCAACTTTGGTCAAGAATTTTGCAAGAATTCAAACTTTGACTTTTAGTGATGGAGTGCCCCCTGGTGGACAATATTTGAAAATGTCCCCCCCAAACCATTTTGGAGCTGTGTAATACAGTGTAGGGATAACTAATTTATCCCTTAACATATTTTAGTTAATATTCTGCTTGGAATGCAGTCCAGAACTAATGTGAGGGCACTGGAATGTAGGGAAAATGATTTAAACACTGTTTCCATAGCGGATACAGGGAAGCTCTGCTGAGCCTCAAGTCCCAAAGTAGAATGCTTCCTGATAGCCCAGGATGGCCCTGGGAACAATCACAGCTTCAGGGCCAAGAGCACAAATCCAAAGGCAGGAAAGTCCTCAACCATCCCTCCCCTCCCAACAACCTTCCCCTTATAACTAGGCCAAAGGCAACACAATCACCCAGGGTTTCAGTGTGAAGGATGCTTAACCTCATATGTTATTATTATTACCAGGGACTGAACCCAGGGGTACTTAACCACTGGGCTACATCCCCAGCCCTTTTTTATATTTTGTCTAGAGACAGGGTCTCACTGAGTTACTTAAGGTCTTGCTAAATTGCTGAGGCTGGCTTTGAACTCATGATCCTCCTGCCTCAGCCTCCTGAGTCCCTTATTATAGGTGTGCACCATCGTACCCAGCTTATATATTATCATTATTATTATTTTTTGATATGGAGGATTGGATCCAGGGGTACTCCACCATTGAGCTACATCCCCAGGACCTGTATTTTTTTTTTTTTTTATTTTGGAGACAAGATCTCTCTAATTTGCCTAGGCTGTGATCCTCCCAAACTTGTAATCCTCCCACCGAGAGGCACTAGGATTACAGGTATATGCCACCTGGTCCAGCTAGCCTTATGATTTCATGGTGTTGGACTAAGGAGCAGGTAGCAGAGGAGGTCAAAAGGGACTCCACAGTGCTGAAATCCTGATGCTACATAGGAAGATGGGTAAATGTGTGCTCTTCTTGTCACCTTGAGAGGGAGCTACAAATAACATAAAGGATCTTAATTTACCAATCAACCAAGGGCCCAGGGATAAAAACACACCCAGGTGAATAGAAAGCAGAAATTGCTCTTCTTGGTGCTTTTAATTAATCAGGTGTTATTTGCATTAAAGGGCCATGCATCTCCTGTGTGTCTCCCGCACTCAGGAATTGTTTATCTAATGAGTGAGCAGTTTACCTCCACCACACCAAACTAGTTGCACACAAAATGGTTTTTCGTTGTTGTTAGAAATGACAGAAAACATCCACTTGATGAAAAGGAGTGGCTGTGTAATTATGTGTGGCATGTTTTTTTGGTTTATTTTCCCTTACCTGAAAAACTATCCTTGTCTAAAGCCATGAGGTTTCTCGCTTGATAGATGTAGCAGCGCAGATGGTAGACATAGACTCCTGAAAAGAACAAGATGGAGATTACATACAAGAACTATAACACTGTATTCTGGCTTTTTTTCTTCTGGAATATTATGGAGGTGATACATGTTTTGAAGAAGTGGGTCACTTGGATGTAGCCTCCTAGAGTAAAGAGCACACATAATAGTGATGATGTGTTCCCCTGAAAGTAGTCCTGCTTTCGGTAAAATAAAATTTATGGTAGTCTCCCTGATCTGTGGTTTTGTTTTCCACAGTTTCAGTGGCCTACCACTGAAAACCATTGTTTGAAAATATTAAATGAAAAATTCTAGAAGTATACAATTCCCAAGTTTTAAATTGCATGCCATTCTAAGCAGTGTGATGAAATCTTGAATCATCCTGCTTGATCCCAACTGGATTGTGAGTCATCCCTTTGTCCACTGTTTCCATCCTGTATACATTGCCCACTTGTTAGTATCTATCTCAATGATCAGTGACTGTCCTGATATCAATATTGCCTTGCTTATGTTAAGTACCTTTTATTATATTTAATAATGGCTCCAAAGAATAAGAGTAGTGATATCAATTTTATTGTAATACATTGTTTTAATTATCCTATATTATTATTAGTTACTGTTATAAACATTTTATTCTGCTTAATTTATAAATTAAACTTTGTCATAGGCATACATGTATAAGAAAAAAGTTAGTGTAATTTAGGTTTTAGTACTATCTGCAATTTCAGGCATCCACTGGGGTGTCTCAGAACAGTATATTTCATGGAGAAGGGGGGAACTATTCCATTTTTTAAAAAATAGTACAGCATGCCCAACACAGGTGTCAATTAGGAAAACATTATTCCTGTTGTACAAGACCTGAATTGGGGTTACTCCTTGTCAGAATACAGACTTTTAAAGCGAGAGTGGGTCTTTAGCAGTTATAAAAATAGGGCTATCTGTATTAATTGAGCACCAGATCAGAAATACGGTTATCTACCAAAAGTTTCTTTGACATTTCAAAATCCATATACTCCTGCTCTTTATTATTATATTAATGCACATACACAGCCCCCTCACACACAAGAACACATAATTTGAGAGGGAGAGAGGAGCACTGTAATTGAATGTTGAACTCTGGGACCCCGAATGCTTGAGTTCAAATCTTGTCTCTAATACTTATAGGCCTCAAGACCTTGAGTAAGTTATTGAATCATCCTGTACATTGGTTCCCTCATCTGCAAAAATGGAGTCAATGACAGCACCTACCTTCAAGGGTTGTTATGAGAATTAAATGAGCTTCTGTATGTACAGTTCCTGGTGCATGCTAAGGCCTATGTATTTGCTATTATTTTTATAGAGTAGGTCTGCCTCCTTCCGAAATTCTGAAACTAACCTATGTTTAAACTTTGAAACTTTTTTCCTAATCAAATAATAATTTGGAGTATGTACAAAATTGAATGAATAGCTATGGATAGACATGTTAAAATCAGCAATTTGATCACCCTTCACCCCAAATATGATACAGTTTTAAAAACTATATTTAAAAAAACTCGTCTTCATCATGGGATGAATTTGAAAGTCATGTTCTCAGAAAGAGATTTTTATCATATTTAGTGATTGGAAAAATTTCTTTGAGATAAAAGTCTTAGAAGCAGAATTCACAAAGACACATTTAAAACTCACTGTCAAAGTTGCAAGAAACAATGGGAGTGTTTGCTCCAAACACTGTGGTGGCGCTGTGCTTATGCTTTTCCAGGCTCTTCTCATCTTGGTCCTCAGTGGTGTCTGCACCCTGAAGTAGGAGGCAGAAAAATCAGTTAACATGGTCTAAAAACAAACCAACCAAGAGTCGAGAATCACAAATAGATTTGTGGCTTTTAAAAGAGATTACATCATTCAATCACCCCATTGTTGAAGATGAATTAAATGCAGGACAGCAAGTGACTTCCCCAATCACTTAGCAGGAGTGCACGAGAGCAGGAGGTCAAAGTCCCCTCTGTCTCAAGTTCAGGTCTACCAAACCCTGCTGCTGAAAGCAAGGGAAAACAGGGGGAAATATGGAAGGAAAATAAAAGGATGAAAGGAGGTAGATAAAACAGCAGAAGAATATAGTGGCGTCACAGTACAGAAATAAAAAACCCAGCTGTGTTTGGAGATGGTTTTTTGCCGCCATATTGTTTTAGATCATCCACTGCTATTATTTTATTCATTCTTTCCACCTGCCTACTTTTTTTTCTTTTTAGATCCCTGCATATTATTATTATTGTGCTTCTATCTGAACTGTTTTCAAATTTTGTGAGCTGTCCCTCTGTTCCTTCACATGTGTATATTTAACCTTGATTGGGTGGACAGTTGCAATTTCCAAGGGATGATCCAAGCAACTTGTGACTTGGATGTTAATAGATGTTACCTGAACAAACAGTTCTGGAACAGATATATTTGAAAAATGCTAGGTGGAATAGATGTGTCTACAGTAGTATTTCTTGGAACCTTTCGCATGTTAATAGTCTAGTTATTCTAGAAGAATATTGGACACCTAGGATGTGTGACTTTCCCTCAACCTATCTGTAGTCTTATTGCTCTGGGGTTACAGGCGCCTCCACGGAATTGGTGGTGCTGCACCTAACACTAATATATTTTCTATTTTATTTGGGCTTTGGCTACTGATTACTTACAAGGGCGCCTTCAAGTTTAAAGATGGCCGCTGCACCATGTGTTTCCGAAGGAGCCATTTTTCTCCTCCAGCGTCTGCGGCGAAAAGTATCTGAACTACGCTGTTTCCAGTGAAATTTCCAGCCAATTAAAGAAGCATATTCCCATCCCTCTCGGTCTTCAAATTCTTCCATGGCCTAAAACAGAGGTAAAACATTTAAGGATAGTAACTATATTGCTTATATTGAAAAAGCAGGTTATTTTGTCAATCGGAAAATATGTAGTAATAAAAATCCACTCTGTCAAGCATATGGTAGAAGCCAGGGATACAGCCAAGAACAAAATAGGATCTCTGCTCTTGCAGAGCTGATGGACTGTGACAATACAGAGAGAAAACTAGACAATTAAAGTGCAAAGAAATGTTGGCATGTGGTGGATATACCATAGGAGGGGCACCTTGGTCTGCAGATGTAGCTCCGTGGCAGACATATACCTGGCATGTGCCAGGCCCTGGGTTTGATCCCTAGAACTGCAAAAACAAACTAACTAACAGGAAATGCATGGAGGGGCTCCTCACTGGGACCTGGGGATGGGGTAAAGCAAGTGGATTTTTTCTCAAATTGTTTTGTATTGTTTCACTTCATCAGGTCATTAGAAAGTGCTACTGTGCTACAGTTTGGAAAATGTTATTATCTCAATCTTATATACAGAGGGGAAAAATGACAGACCCCCTTCTCAAGGTTTCAATAAATGTCTTGCAGAATTCATAATTAAATGATAGGTTAGAATATACTACATCTGTAACAACTACTTAGTATTTTTCAGCTTAAACACTATTTTATACATAAATAATGTCGTTTTTCAATGTTTTATTCTATTTGTTCAACAAATATGAGCACCTGCTACCTGACAGGGATTGTGTTAAAGTCAGAGAAAGCAATGAAGAAAAAGACAGATGGGGCCTTTGCCTTCAGGTAGCTGACATTTCAGTTTCGAAAATCCTGTTTAACACCAACTCTGACACTTACTAGACAAATGATTAGAGGAAATCTATTTCATCTCTGTGAAGATCATCTGTAAAATGGGCGTGAAATCCAGAGCTTACAGATTGTAGATGATGTACATTATGTACCTTGCATGGTAGAAGGCACATAAAACATGTCATTTATTATTGTTCTGATATTATTATTCCATTTGAAGCATTATAATGCCCCAATTACATAGGTATAGATAGTATTCCCATTTTGCAGATGAGAAAGACAGTCAGGATTTGAATCTTTCTGCATCTTGTTCCAAGTTCTGAGCTATTGCCACTACTATGCTATTCTGTGAATAATTTCAGTGTCTATCACTACTGTCATAGCTATTCTCAACATTTAGCTTACCACAGAATCATCTGGAGGACTTGTCAAAATACAGATTGCTGGGTCCACCACCCCCCGCCCCCGAGATTCTAAAGAAGTAGGTTGGGGGTGAAGAAGTTGTAGCAAATTCCCAGGCAATGATGATGGTATTGTCGGGGGTAGGGGCATTTGGAGAACCCTGGAGCACCTCAGACCCTTGATTTGCACATAGTTCTTAGAAGGAGCCTCATCCACTGAAACTTGATTGTGTGGAAGGCAACGCCTACCCCTATCCACATCCCATCTACTGCCCCTATTGCTCCTCTTACCTTAGCAGTACTTGAAGCGGTTTGTGTTAAATCTTTCTTGCGTTTTCGGATCAGCCTTCGCCGCCTATGAGTGTGATACATTTTCTCTGCTGCAACCCAGCATTTGGGCTTATTATCAGGAGGAATGGTAATGCCATACTCCCAGCCTGGAACAGAGTTGTTTTTTTTTTTTTTTTCAGTTTCTCAAAAGAGATTCATTTACCAGATCTCCAAGTAAGCTTCCAGAAACATCCACTGTCTCTGCCCCCACGTGCTTTCTGCTATCATGACTGGTGTGCTGCTTTCACATGCTGCAACTTAGCCTAACTGAAGCAGCCCCATTCCCTGGCAACCTCCGTAGTGGCCACGGGGTTCTCCTCTATTGCACGCTCCAGTCACTCATGAGAATTGAGTGCACCTAAGAATAAAGCGCAGCTCAAGGAGCAGAGGGGCACAGAATAAGGGTATGGATCGTGTAGTTCCATGCCCTGGGTTCAATCCCAGGACTTCCCATGTGCTGGCTGTTTATTAAGTTTCCTGAAACTTGCTAAACCTGTCTATGGCCCAGTTTCTGCATCATAAAGGTAAAATATACCTTTATATAGGGTTATTTTTAAACAATCAAAGTAATGTGTACAAATACCAGGATCATGTTTAGCATGCTGGTATTACTTAATCAATGGTAACTATAAGATCAGATGTGAGCATCAAGACCAATAAAGAACTTCAATTTTTATTTGAAATCTTCTACATCAATGCCAGTCCTTTCTATTCTGTGTGCCTTTTTATAAGAAAAACAAATTTTCTCTCTTGATAATTCAACTTAGAATTACTCTTCATAGAAAAAGATAAACACTATTATTAATTGAAGCTATGTCAATAATCTACCCTATTTCTGAATATGATGACTTTTAAGGCATTTTACAGTTCTCTTTTCTGATCTGGGGACCCTGAGTGTTATGTTCCCATGAAGATCACGAAATATGATTAGGACAGAGAAAATCCAAACCCAGCTCTCTCCTAATTTCTCATCCTGGATCCCCAGGATCTCAAAGCCTAACTGGTTGATCCCCTAGCACCTGCTATTTTTCACTCTTAACATCTCCCACCCAACACCTGCTAAGATATTTGCTTATTCCTTAGATTCTGCATCTGAATAGTCACAGATAGCAACACATAATGGGGTTGTCATAGACGAAGAGAAGTAGGACTTTCCTCTCAAGAAACCCTTACTCTGGTTAATCTGCATTCAGCTAAATAGATGCAAAATGTTACCTTTCTCATCCACTGCTCGATTTATGTCATATACCCATGCATCATCTTCCCACTCCCAGCCTGGAGGACAAGTCAACTCAGCGGGTGATGCTGCCTTTTCACCATTCTTCAAATAAATAAAATAAAGAAAGAGAGAGAGAGTGGTAATAAGATACAAAGGTACGTTTTCTTAGACTTTACTATGTATCCATATGTTTACATAGATGCTATCTTAGAGATTCATTTAGCTCAGCAAAATATCCAATCTTTATTAATGCACAATTGCTACATAAAAATTAGTTGTTTGAGGGCTGTAGTTGTAGCTCGGTGGTAGAGCGCTTACCTAGCACATGTGAGGCATTGGGTTCGATCTTCAGTACCACATAAAAATAAATAAAGAATAGCAATTTCACATGGTTCAACTCTGAAATGGCACAACTGATTTTTATGGGGGGTTCTATAGGAAAGAACCCATCAGAGGATGGATCAGACATTGAAGACACTTGTTTTCAAGTTCAGGAAAATGCCACGGAGGTTCACGATCATGTAAGACTGAGCAAAGTTTATATAAAATACTGACTTAAGTTTATATAGAAACTAAGAGAGTCATGAAAAAGAAAGTTCATAAGTAAAGAAAATAAAGGTGGCCCATAAACATGGGCAAACACTCAGCTTCACTTTAAATTAACAAACTGGAAACTGAAACAACCTCCGTGCATTCTATTCACATACTGGCAAAGCTGACACAGTGGGATGTGAGTGTTTGGGCAAACGTCTTCTCACACTGCTGCTGGGAACACGTTTATGCAACCTCTTTGAAAAGCAATTTAGCAATGTTTATAAAAATCTTACATGAATTTAAATTTTGACCAAGCAAATCCAAGATCTTTCTTAGAGGTAAACCTTCTTAAGTAAATAAAAATGTATGTGGAAGTAAGAGAGAGGGAGAGAGAGAGACAAGGAGAGAATGGGGGGGGCATCTCATTAAAATAGAGTAGAGGAAGGGAGAGGGATAGAAATGGAGGGAGGGCATGCAGAGTACTGAGGAAAGAAATCTACCAAACTATGCTATGTTCATGTTTGAACTGACCACAATGAATCCCATGTATGTGTATATGTATTTATATATATATAAAATTATAATGCAACAATTAAAGCAATAACAATAATAGAAGGGACATCAGTAGAGTTAAAGCAAGAGGATCTAGGAAGGAAGAAAGAAAGGGAAGGTGCTGGGGAATGATTGATCAAATTATGTTATGTGCATATGCAAATATGATATAATGAATCCCCCCTGTCACCTGTCAATTCACTGTCACATGGTTTATAAAAACCAGACAAAACAAAACAACACTCCACTTCCAAACTCTACAGGCCTATGAGAAGGAGATTTAGCTAAATTAAGTATAGTAGGTGCATATAATAAAATACCCTAGAGGCATTTTTTAAAGCTCATAATATGTATGTATTGATATTGAAAGCTGACCAAGATATATTAATATGTGAAAAATCAAGCTGTAGAACTGTGTATACAACACAATTTCATTCAGGTGAGGAAAAAAGAATTGCGTATGAACAGAAAATGGCTTTCAAGGTTACCTTTGGGGAGATACTAGTCAGAGAGAAGAACTCATCTTGGTTTTCTTTAAAAATGTTTGGATATTTAAAAAGACACGAGCATGTTGTTACGGCTTTAAAAACTAGTTAAATGATAGATGAATATTTAGCCTAAAAATCTGTACAACCTACACATCACCACGTGGCAACATCTAGTGACCTAGGTCCCATTTCTTTTCTACAAAAGTAGCGATCGCGCAGCAGTGCCAGTAAATTGTGAAGGGAAGACTATTTGGGGACAGAAGATGTATAAAAAGAGGGTGAGGCCCAAGCCTGGGGTGGTGGGTTCCCAGCAGCTTGTGCTTTAGAGATGACACATGAGGACTGCTCTGGAGAGCAGGCAGCTCACCGCATCCGTGTACGTGTCCTCTGCAGGCTTCCACTCGCCCCCGGGGTAACGGCTCTCATTCTGGTAGACTTCATCTGTGAACTCTGTGTGACCAGCATCCGCCTCAGTCAGTAAGCTGCGGGCGGGCAAGCACTCATGTTATCAACCCGCAATCCCAGTTATTGCCAATGGTGGGGAGGCACCTACACCCTGGGAATGGTACCAGTTCCCTCTTCGCTTGACCCTGTGGGCTCTCTGCTCCAAACTCCCATTTGAACTATCAGATTTTGCAATTCCTTGGAGAAAGGGCCTGCTGAAACAACCAGACCTAAATTGCAGAGAGCTCAGATGAGTGTGATTTCTCCTTCTTAGTAATTAGGGTGAGGACAAGGAAAACTGTTGTGGGCAGCTTCTCACCGGGATCCCAGACAGCGCCTTCCATTTCTGTTTCAGAAATACAGGGCTGTTCAGCTTTTTCTCAGCGAAACTTTTGGCTAACAGTTCAAAAGAATGGGGAATCATTTTTTTGTATCCCTCCTATTTTAAAAAATGAAGTGGAGACTGTCATAAAGCCAAGTATGGAAATGTGGACTCATGGATTGCTTGATCTACGCAACACAAATTGAAGGGAGGAGTTTCAGTGTTCTCCATGATTCCTAGGTTGACAGCCAAACCAAGTCATTTAAGACTCCAAACTCCACTTGGACCCTGGAGTAATCCATAATAACTCTATCTTGCCAGTTTTCCTCTTGGATTTGGAAGCATTTTTAAAAACCCACAGAAGAAACACAGAGGTTTGATTCTAGCTTTCTGCCAGGTAACCAACTCAAATGAGGGTTCTTTTTTCTTTACTATCTCTGCATCTTCTCCTTCTGTATCCTCCTCTAGAATCAAGCACTGGAGAGGTATCAAAAAATAAATAATCCCAACTATTTATATAAAGTGGGCTCATCCCTCACTTTTATGGCCCCAGAGAAAGAGAATAAAAACCCTGGCTGCTCCCTCTAGGATCCTATCCAGCCCTTACATGCTTTGACCTTTTATTTTTCCAACCTCAGTTCCTCCCACTGTTCTTTCTGTGCCATTCAAATCCCACTTTCCTTCTCCTCACTAACCTCCCAAATCCACCTGAAGCAAGCTGATTTGTCTTGGATCAAAATCATTGATGTGCAAGCACTGGCTCTTACCAGGCTGGCTTGCTCACGTCCCTCTCTCCTTAATGGCTACGCAATGGCAAGAAACAAGTGCCAGAGAGGCCAGACTCCAGTTGGGTGCCTTAAAATACAACTTTACAGTTTTGTTTCCTCCAAACTCAAGCTCAGGTTCTAATGCTATTGGCAACATTCCAGAATCAGGCTTTAGTTTCTTCCAGACTCCAGGACCCTACTCTTTCTTTTCTTTTTTAATAACAATTTTGAGACATCATTCACATACCTTACGATTCACCCTTAAATGTCTGCCTTCTACTGTTTCTTGCAGATGTTCCAGCATAATGGTTGAGTGCTGACTTGGATGACCTGGCTTGTCTTAGCTTCCAACCCTGGCTATACCACTTACAGGTTCTGTGACTTTGGACAAGTTACTTAATCTCTCCATGAACATCTTTCATTTCTGCACATCTTACCAACTGAGGTGCAGCTGAGCTGATTGCCTTTATTATGGACTTCCTTTTCAAGGATATTTATATAGGGACCAGCCTGGAAGGCAAAGATAGTGTCTCTTCCCAGAGCAAAGGGCCAGCAAGTTCACAGTTCATTATAAAAGATTTGGATTCCCTAAGCTCAGGATTCCTCTTCTGCAATGCAATCTACCATTAAGTGCAAATGTCATCAGGCCCTCTTACATCAACCTGTGGGAACTGGGGCATGGAGATCTAGAGCAAAAGTTGATGCTCTGCTATTTCTATTGCTTGGGCAATAAGGTTCTTTGTCTGTGAATGAGGAGTCATGTATCCATAAAACTGTGGCAGGCAAGTTGGTGCAAATAATGTAAAACCCCAGGCTCTTCACAATTCTTGCCTCTACCTATCTGGTAAGGACGTAGTTAAGACTAAAATGGTGTTGGTGCTCAACACACTGCTTGGCACAGTCACATATAATAAATCGTGATAATTGTCATTTATCAGGTACTTTTTATATTTGTCTGTCTTATGGGACATTGATGACATCTTTTAATTTTTTATGAATTTCTGTGGACTTACTCCTGCTCAACAGGTATTTTATAAATGTCCTGAAGAATAATGATGGAGACAACCCATTTAGCAATTTCTAAGGAAAGGTTTCACTGCTATCCTCTTTTTTCTCAGAGAATGAAAATCTTACCTTCTTTCAGGATCAATTATCCACTCTCCTTCCCATTCCCATCCTTTTGGAGGCAAGAAGAATTCCCTCTTGAGTTTTATTTTTCCTGTGACATCAGAAAACTTGTGACGTCCCACTAATCCAGAGGTGCCCCATTTTCCAAACATGAGAGCTTGATTTTCATACTGTCAAAAAATAAAGTTAGCGAAACACTATCAGAGAGCAAGAAATAAAGCCAGTCCATACATTTTTCAAGTCCATCTAGGATTAAGCTAGACAACCACAGGAAGTGAAAAGGACCTAACTTGAGTTGTTACTGATCATGCAGCTTTGGATAAACCATTCATTTTTCTAAGCCATAGGAGAGTTTGGGGCTGAAGTTTATAAATTATCCTCATTTATAAACGGAGGATAATACTGCCATCCTCATAAAGTTATTCTGGAATTCAGAAGTGCAGGTAAGTGTGAATAGTATTAGATATTGCTATCTGATACTAGTTATTTTTATTATTTTAATGGCTCCAAGTAGTTCTCTGAATCATATCTTCTAAAAACCAACAAAATCCCTAACTTATAAATATGCAGGTTCCATAAAGTCTATTTTTAAGTTTACTGCTTAGAATCTGAGACACCTTCCCCTACAGAAATAATATATAATTGATGGATTATTTCCCAGGTATTCCACAAAGAACACATCTGAAACATGACGGTCTTTTGGCACCCAGACCTCATGGACTCTAAAAGTTCTGAGCCCTAATTCTCTCTAGAGTTTGGCGGGTAGACCAAGATGTTTCTAGGAAGCAGGTTTAGTGACTTTGGCTTGTATCCCTGTTTGGTTCCAAACTGGAATCTCTATTTCTCTACTGATGACCTCACTGAAAAGATGAGTTCATAAGCCATAGGAGAGTTTGGGGCTGAAGGAGGAGGGACGCAATTTGAGTAAGAGCCCGTTGGTTGAGTAAGAGCACAGTAATGTTGTCTCAGATATGGGCTCTGAGCCTGGAGGGGAGATGCGCTTCAACAGAAACTAGATGGACTGTTGTCACAAGGGGCCCTGAAACTTAGAAATGGAGGAACAAGATGTTCCTGCCACTTCTGCTAGGAAGCCAGCATGGTTTCTGTAAAGTCCAAGCAAGGACCTCAATATGAAGAAAAGAACAACATAGCAGTAGAGGTAGGAAACTTAATTGGCTTTGAAGACTATGGTCTTTAGCTAGCAGCAGTGGAGGCAGGATAATAGAAAAAATATTCATGAACAAGCACATGTGAAACACCTGAAGAACTCCTAGAAGTCTTGGGAGTAAAATGTTGCAGAGAAGCAAACTCTGGTATTAGCACATGAAGGTAAGACACCGTGATATTTCCATTATCATTACTAATGTGCCCACCCTGGTCTTCACAGGCTGTAGAGCCCAGAGAAACTATAGATCACACAGAACAACTGTACATGAGTTGATGCTTGAGCTCGGCTCTGTGTAGGGAAGTGTCTGGAAATAGAAAAAAGTGGAAAGGAGCCCTGGGCTGGTTGACTGTTTCTCGGGGATTATTAGCAGCCACAGAGCTGGAAGGCTGGTGGATGCCAAGAAATCCTGCAGGAAGCCTCTCCTAGATATGCCCTGAAGTCCTTACTCCACACTGCTCAGGTGGCTGGACATTAACATCCTCCACTCAGGGACTCCAGGACATCTTCTATTTATCTCCATGAGCACGTCTATGTGTTCCACTGTTTCACAGAGTGACCCATAAATGCCCCATACCTTCCACATTGAAATTATCTGTGATGCTCAACCCTATCTCAGCTACAGAATCTGAATCCCCAGGATGGCCCTGTGAGTCTGCATGTTCAATAAAAGACCCAGTTTCTGCAATCACTGCAACAGATTGTGAGATCCTTGGGGACAAGGCCTGGCTTCTTGGTCATCCTCAATACCCGACTCAGTGCCTGGCAGAAAACCATTGCTCCTTAAAAGCTTGGATGGACCAATAGGTGGATGGAGGAATGGAGAATGAATCCAATCATCATTTATCAATTCAATAAATATTCATAAGTACCTACTATGTTCCAGGTACTACTAAATGATCGAAAAGTAAAAAATTAAAGATGGCTGTTGCAGGAATACCCTTATAGATTACCTAGAATGAAGATAGTCCTCCCCTCCTTTTGTTTGAACATAAACACCCATTTGTAGAAGAGAGTTCATCCAAGAATGTATCAGAAGAGACCCACCAAATACATATAGTAAGTTTAAATCAAGAAGCACTTGAAGTTAAAAATGGTGTAATAAGGAAATCAAAATAACTCTACTCTTAGCTTTATATTTTCATGAAATTATTTTCATTGTTTTAATCGTAATCAGACTTAAGTAACCTAAGTAGGTTTAAACCTCAGTGAAGGTTTTACAAATTATCTCTATTGCTTTTGAAATATTCCAGTAGCATATTCTTTGCCCTTGAAACCTATTGGAAGCTTCCCCTAAGTGGGAAATGGGTTTTCTGTGATTTAAAGACCTCTCACTCCAAGCAAGTGTTTTAAGATTTGAACATCTCATAAGTGTGTGTGTGTGTGTGTACTCAGTGTGTCCTACCATCAGGCACCAATATGACTGGGTATTCCTGAGTTCAAGTTCTAAGAGCTCAAAGGGCATCCGCTTTCAGTACTGCTGGCTGAGAACATCTCTTGGATCTATCACACAAAGGTCTTAATCACCCTCATTGTTCTAATGTTGAGAGACCTCAAGAGGATCTTCTCCCATCCTCTTAAATTAAGGTATTTTTCATGGGATTTTAAGTGGTTGTAATGACAGCTGTAGTTATTTTTGGTATGTGAATGTTTTCCCTAAGGATGAAAAGCAAAAGTTCTTCCCCACCAAATTGGACAAGATAAGGATGTCATAAAATGTACCATTTCAGCAAAGACGGTGAAAGTTCCTTCTGCGAAGCTATTGAACTTCTTCTCAACAGCACTTAAGCCCAGCCAGATGTTCACTCGCAATTCCACAGGCACCTTGGGTCCATTTGTTTTTTCCTGAGGATACTGTGGGAGGAACGATGTTAGGTCATGTTATGCGTTGGATGCAATGTGACATTAACATAAAGCCAAAAGCATTCCGAACATCATCTAATCATTGCTCTCACTGGCCAAATTGTCTGTTGCTTTAGTTAAAATATTTCCAAATGACCCTTCAGCAAAAACTGAAAAACAACTAAAGCAGTGGATCTCCCCAAGAGTATGATGCACAGATTCCTGTACGTCCCACTAGGAGGCCCACAAGGTTGAAATAATTTTCCTAAGAGAGCAAACAAAAGTCTTTATCTTCTTCATATATTGACATTTGCACTGATGGTGCAAAGCAATGGTGGATAAAACTCTTGGTACCACAATAGGCATCAAGGCAGTAACACCAGACCATACCCAGTAGTGACAGCAGTAATAGTATGATAACTGTTCATACCTGAGTAAGAAAAATGAAATGTCAGTTTTACTAAAGAATTCTCCTGAATTTTTTTTAATATCTTTATTTTATTTTTATGTGGTGCTGAGGATCAAACCCAGTGCCTCACGCATGCCAGGCAAGTGCGCTACCACTTGAGCAACATCTCGAGCCCCCTGAATTTTTTTTTAAACTAGAAAATTCAGTTGGGTACAGTGGCACATGCCTGTAATTCCAGATACTTGGGAGGCTGAGACAAAAGAATCCCAAGTTCAAGGCCAGCTGGGCAACTTAGCAAAATAACAAATGAAAAAACAAAAAACAAA